ATGGGTTTACATGGCACTGTTTGTGGTATGTGGGTGCAGCTTCTGGAGCTTCCAAAAGTAGCAGGGAACAAGATAACATTTGTATCTTTATTAATCATGATGGTAAACTTATCCATCTGCTTCATTTTATGCCTTGATGGGTTAGGCAGAATACTGCATGAATTTACTAACTACAAATGCATTCCCCTAACAGATATTGACACATAACTTTTTTATTAGTGACCCAAGACTTAGGTCTTAGCTGTCCACCCCGACTCTGAGAAGCCTCCAGAGTTCTCAGCCTGAAGACTGGTGTATCTTGAATTTTCAGCAGTTTGGTGTCTCTGCTGGAGCGATAGCATAGTGGTAGGGCGTTTGCCTTGCATGCAGCCAATATGGCCGATCCAAGATCGATTCCTCTGCCCCTCTCGGAGAGCCCGGCAAGCTACCTAGAGTATCTCGCCCGCACGGCAGAGCCTGGAAAGCTACCCGTGTTATATTTGATATGCCAAACACAGTAACAACAAAGTCTCCAATGGAGACGTTACTGGGCCCACTCGAGCAAATCGATGAACAACGGGAGGACAGTGACAGTGACATTGGTGTCTCTGCAGAGTTTAGCTGTGAGGCAGTGGAGTTGGGCTGGTGGCTGGTTGCTGGTGACAGCTGTGGGCTTCGCAGGCACGGGGACTCAACCAAAATCTCTCCTGAAGACTAGTGTACCCGTGAATTTTTGTGGCTTGTTGATCTTATCTGAGATTTAATCATGAGTCTGTAAAGCTGGGCCAATGGATGAACCCATTTGTCTAAGAGATTATGCTTCATTTCTTCATAGAAAACTTGATCTTTGTTCCTGAGATTACTACTCCAGTCATGTTTCGTTCTATTTTTAAGCAAATTTCTGACAAGTAAATTGAACATAGAATTAAAGAATAAATTTTGCCTAGAGATTTTTTTCTTACAAATCTAGCCAGTGATGTTATTTATTAGAAATTGCCTTGCTTTTCTCATTTTCTTCACAAGATCACCTTTATACAATTTCCTGTTCTTTCTTTGCTCAGTACCCAATAGGGCTAGTATCAGTGTTGCTAGGGACTGAACCCAGTGCCTTACATATACTAAGGCATGCGCTCTACCCCTTCAGGTACATCCATGTATTTCTTGATCCTTGAAACTGACTATAAGTAACAATGTATCTGACTGCAAATAACATTTGTGTCTGACTTCAAATAACATTTGTGTCATGATGATAACCTTATCTACTAGATTTTGTGATTTTGTACCTTGATGGGTTAAAATACTGCACAAATTTATACAGATTCAGTCGACATGCTCCTAACGGATATTGAAGAGACCACATAATTTATTTGCTACCCATGCCCCAACTTAGGTACTAGCCTGTCACTATTCCTGTTTCTTTATTCACAGTAATTATTTATCATCGGCAGTCTCCTGCCTCCGCGCCTGACTGTCCTCGCCGCCGGGGCCCCTTGGAGGGGAGTGGGTTGAGCTTTCCTCCCCGCCCCGACCAGGGCTCCAGCAGCCAAAGACCTCCAGGACCAGCCACCGCCATGCTGAGACCACTCTCCGCACACATGAAGGTACTGGCAGAGGGACAAAGTCACGCGGGTTCCGGGGCCGAGATCTCCAAGCCTACTCGGATTTGGGCCGAGCATCCTCCACCCAGATCCTCCAAATTCCAGTAGGCGGGGGTCACACCCACCAACTGGCCCCCTGGTGCCGTGTAATCCCATCAGCAGCCAAGACTCAGAGACTATAAAAACCAGCTCCCGGAACCGCGTGGCCGCGCTATTATGACATCTTATTATCTCATTCCTACTTTGGACAAACTGGCAGGCTACCAGATGTAGCCTGCCCACAGGGCAGAGTCTGGCAAACTCCCCTTGGCGTACCCAATATGCCAAATACCAGTAACAATGATGGGTCTCATCCTCCTAAAGAGCCTTGAATATAATCTCAGGGCTAGGATGAAGGAGACGTTACTGGGGCCTGCTCGAGGCAATCGACAATTAACAGGATGATTTGTGATTGTGATTTATCATCACTTCATAAAAGTAGCTCCTTGTATATTTGGTACAAAAGTTTTTCAGAAATAAAATAATTAAAAATAAATGAATATGTGCATTTTTTGTTTGTTGCCAATAGTATCTAAATATATATTTTTGTATTTTTAATGAATTTTTGGCTGTTAAAACAACATCATTTTGTAATGAATCTTCACTAATTTTCAATGTTTGTAGTTTTAAGAAAATTAGAATTGTTGGTGATGTCTCAATTTATGTCCTGTGAGAGAGAGAGACTGAATTTTTCAATCTTGTTTTTCTTAATTTTTTAAAAAAAAATTAGAAGTAACAACTCTGTTTCAGGTTTTTTGCCTTATAGTGTATTCAAGACTGAATATGCCCCTGATAAAAGATGTCTTTTATTTGTCTAGTTCTGTGAGGTTTCCAGCTGCCTTTGAATAGAAAATTTAAATTTTTCCCATTTGTGTTTGGCCAGTGTTAGAACTCAGGAATGCAGTGGTCTCTTCCTGTATTTTGAGGAAATTCCTTTCCTTGGTGTTGAAGCAAACACCTGAAAACCTGTGGGTTCATTTCCTAGAACACTGAGAAAGGTGAAATTTCTCCCTCCCCCGGCCCACTCTTATCCATTCTGTCAGTCTGACTGCCAACTCCTGCATAATATAGGCAAATTATGTGTTAGAAATTCAACCCTGGTTTCCTGGGTGATGGTACAATGCCACTACTTAGTATTCCTAGTCACATAGCTACAATTCCATCACGCTCTTAATCTATATATATCTTCAAATTCGAGAAGAAGCAGACTTCTCAAACCAGGCCTGAAATAAGAGTTTAAATGTACAGTGTGGAAACACAGAAGCTTCTTTAACTCAGCAATGAGGAGACAGGATATTTGTTAGTCCAGGATCTGAAGCAACTGCCAGATGGACTAATGCTTCTTGGATTTGATGGTTTCTCTAGTATTTTTTTTCTAGTTTCACTGTATCACTGTCTTCCTGTTATTCATTGATTGCCTCAAGCAGGCCCCAGTAACGTCTCCTTCGTACTAGCCCTGAGATTTTAAAAAGTGCCAGATTCGAGGCTCTTTCAGGGTCAGGAGAATGAGACCCGTCATTTGTACTGGTTTTTGGCATATTGAATATGCCACGGGGAGTTTGCCAGACTCTGCCGTGGGGGCAGGATACTTTTGGTAGCCTGCCAGGTTCTCCAGAGTAAGAACTAGATGATAAGATGTCGCTGGCTGCAAATGTGGCCGCGTGCTTCCAGAAGCAGTGTTTTATAGTCTCTGCGTCTTGGCTGTTGATGGGATTACACAGCGCCAGGGCAGTTGGTGGGTGTAACACCTACATACTGGAAGATGGGGGATCTGGGTGGAGGAAGGAAGCCCCAGTCACAATCTGAGCAGGCTTGGAGATCTACAGCCCGGGTCCCACACTCCTGGATTCCTTGGCCAGTTCCTTCATGCGTGAGGCTCATCCAAACATGTGGAGAGTGGTCTTAAGCATGGCTGTGGCTGGAACCAGAGGTCTTCAACTGCTGGGGCTCTGCTCGGGGTGGAAAGGGAAACTCAACCCACCCTCCTCTAAGGGGCCCCGATGAGGACAGCCAGGCACCTAGGCAGGAGACTCTGTACTGTTCTCTTCCGGGCACAGGGTTTTATCGTCTCTGTGTCTTGGCCATTGATGGGATTACACAGCACCGGGGGCAGTTGGTGGGTGTAATGCCTACATACTGGAAGATGGGGGATCTGGGTGGAGGAAGGAGGCCCCAGTCCCAATCTGAGCAGGCTTGGAGATCTACGCCCCGGGTTCCACACACCTGGGTTCCTCTGCCGGTTCCTTCATGTGTGAGGCCCGTCCAAACGTGTGGAGAGTGGTTTTAAGCATGGCTGTGGCTGGAACCAGAGGTCTTCAGCTGCTGGGACTCTGCTCGGGGTGGAAAGGGAAACTCAACCCACCCTCCTCTAAGGGGCCCTGATGAGGACAGCCAGGTATGGAGGCAGGACACTCTGTGCTGTTCTCTTCCGGGAGCAGGATTTTATAGTCTCTGCAGTTTGGCCATTGATGGGATTACACAGCGCTGGGGACAGTTGGTGGGTGTAACGCCTACATACTGGAAGATGAGGAATCTGGGTGGAGGAGCCCCAGTCCCAATTCTAGCAGGCTTGGAGATCTATGCCCTGGGTCCCGCACATCTGGGTTTCTCGGCCGGTTCCTTCACGCATGGGTCTCGTCCAAACGTGTGGAGAGTGGTCTTAAGCATGGGTGTGGCTGGAACCAGAGGTCTTTAGCTGCCAGGGCTCTGCTTGGGTGGGGAGGGAAACTCAACCTACCCTCCTCCAAGGAGGCCCCAGTGAGGACAGCTAGGCATGGAGGCAGGAGAATCTGCAAATTTAGTTTAGTTCTGCAAATTTGGTATTCATCCTGGTCTTCGTTACTCTGTTTTGACAGTAGTCCCAACAGGTCATCGTCCTTAAACTTTAAGTCTCCTGCATTAGCTGTGTTACGTTGGTCACATTATTTATTTGTTTTTTTTTTGTTTGTTTATTTATTTATTAGGTTTTGGAGCCATACTCAGTGATGCTCAGGGGTTACTCCTGGCTCTACACACAGTTAGCAAGGCAAATGCTCTACCTGCTGTACTATTGGTCAGACCTCCCAATTATTTTCCTAATCCTCGGTTCTTTCATTAGAAAAAAAGAAAGGATAGTCTTCTCACATAATGTTATGAGGGCTATCTGGTATACTATTTTTTTTTATCTCCTCCCCAAAAAAGTTTGGCACTGGTGTATTGAATTCTTGTATCTTGTGAACCTTTTTTTTTTTTTAAACACATCAGATTGGTTTGGTAATTTGTGATAGTTACTTACAGTACACATTCCAATGTTAATCTCATGGATGCAGATAATCTACCTAGGTATATTCAATTAAGGATATCAAGCTTTTCTTGTGTTTGTCTCTCCCCCCCGCCCCCCTTTAGGTCTTGAAAATTGCCAGCCAAGCTGCGCTGAATAACCCATATCCTAGGCAGGGATTGTTTTCACTTCTATAATGAAGAAGAGCCGGAGTGTGATGACAGTGACGGCTGATGATGTAAGTTGCTAAAGTTGGAGTTGCCGGATTCCGCCCACTTTTGTCTGCTCTATAAAGAAATCACTCTCTTAGTTCATTCAAAGAGGGGGGTGGGGGCAGTGAATGAGAAGTTATCCAGAAAAGTATTAAGGCCACTAGAGTGGATAATTTCTATTTAGATTTGCACTGTCTAGCATGGTGGCCTCTATCCACGTGGCCTGCTAAGCACTGGTCTGAAGGAAGATGTGCGGTGAGTGTGAAATAGGTTTTGGGTTTTAAGAAGATAGCATATAAATAAAAAAAGAATGGGAAATATTTTACTAAAATTTTTTTATAGATTATAGATGACAATGAGAACATTTAAAACCTACTAGGTGGAGTAAAATATACTGTTGAAATTAATTTTGTATCTGTTTTCTTTCTTAATATGGTTACCAATATGGTTACCAATACATCTAAAGGGGCACATTTAGATTCCACTGGTAGTTTTATATTTTATTTCCACTGGATAGTGATGATTAGAAATTGAAGTTTTTTAATTAAATTTATTTTTTATTAAGACAGTGTGATTTACAATGTTCATAAAATAGTGTTTAAGGCATGCGATGTTCAGAATATCAGATGACAAAAAAAACTTTTTACTTTCAATCTCAATTTTTTAAAATATAGTACAGTAAAGCATTGAATGTTGCAGATAGCATCACATCCTTACAAGAGCAATATTGCAGATGTTACATTTTGCACACCACGCTCTTGCTCTTGAAGTAAGCTTTCACCTGAACATCAAGGATATTTTCATTACATTCTCATTTATTTCAACTTAGCAGATAATATTTTAGTGATTTAAATATTTATTTAATATTAATTTAGCACACATTTTGTGCTAAATGCTAGAAAGATTTAGAGATCAAGCAACAAATAGTAGAGAAGTACATATATCCGTTTGGAAATTATATTTTGAAGGCGAGGAAAGAAATAAATAAATTTTAAATTAACCCGAGCTATGGTAAGGTCTTTGCGGAAAAATGATTTTGTTCAGGGTGGACAGGAATGAAGGATGGTTTGAATAGATTGTGGAAGCTTTTGAAATGACCTCTCAGCAGTGAGGGAGCAGGCCCTCTGATGATTTAGCAGAAGGACATTTTCAGTAAAGGGAGCAGCAGTTGTGAAAATCTTCACAGATTTAGCGAGATGTTAAGTTTTCTCTGGGCATAAACCAGTGAATTGTAGCCATTGCCTTTATCTACTGCACTACACAAATAACTTGAGCAGGACACCTGATACCATGAATGACAAGAATAGAGTGTATTCAGTGGTTTGTATTTGGAAAGCAAGTTCCATAAATAAGAGTTAAATTAAGTGCTGTTCAAGTGCTGAACACAGTTACTTATGCCTAAAGAGATCCCAGGACAGCTGAGAGGGGAGAGAAAATTCGCAGGTTTAAGGCAGATTCCAAAAGGAAAAAAGACTTAAGAGACCACGAGAGGAGGAAGGAAGCAGATTTATGCAGACACAGGCTGGTTATTTATATTATATTGTATTCTGTCACATCCTGTCATACTATAACCGAAAACAAAATGGCCATATCTGTATTCCAGCTATAGTTCTGCATTCCAATCACAAAAGTCAAGCAATTTCTTCAAAGTGAAACCAGTCAGTGAGAGTGAGAGCAATACTAATTCATCTCTAGGTGAACTATTGTAAGGGATGTTGGTTGACTACGAGAAAATCACCTTTCTTTGTTTTTGTTTTTGGCCCATAATAGTGATGTTCAGGGATTACTCCTGGCTCTGCACTTAGAAATCACTCCTGGTGAGACTTGGGGGGATTATATGGGATGCTGAGAATTGAACCTGGGTTGGTCAAATGCAAGGCAAGCAAGCACCTTCCCCACCTCACTATCATTGCTTTATCTCTATTACCTTTATAAAAAAAGACAAAATTACTCTCTTTATTATCCCATGGCATTTAATCCTGATAAGGATTTGAGGTGTCACTTGATTCCCCAAATTTATTTCTGATATCTGAGGATTCGAAAACTTTGGCCCAAACTGAATTGGCATCTAAGTAGACTAAAAATGTAGAAATGCCTATACCTGTTTTCTCACTGTGAACTCTAAGGGGAGGAATTTGAAAAAAAAAATTATACCCCTAAAAACAGTAATGACAAAAGCTGGACAATTAACATAGACACTAACTTGTCATTTTGGTATATTTCAGGGTCCATTTTTAACAGTAGTTTGGGGAAATGGGAATGGAACCAGAATTAGTTCCTTCCACATCCTCGTTGCTTCTCTAGCAAACTTCCCCCACCTCAGCGTAAATTTTCCCTCTGGCATTTCCTTTGTGATAACCTTTTGGAGTTATATTGGCAAAAACACAGATTTTTTTCCCAAAGGATTATCTAAAACATGAGGATTAATTGAAGATGGTTTATTTCCCTTAGGGTTATAAAGACATAGAAAATTTGGGGCAGTATGAAACATTAGAACATTTGTGACTTTCAGCAGTAGTAGTGAAATTAAGCTTCATTTCCTCTTATCTTTGATGAGTAGAGACAGTCTAAATCATGTTGGTTAAAATTGGGAAATGAACACAAGATCACAAATGCAATCACTGAGAAGCGACCGAATTAGATTTTGCCTTTGTGGATGCAATTTTGGGGGAGCAACTGCATATATTTTGCACATGAATTAGAGTTTGAGGTAATTAAGAGTAACTGCACAGGTGAATGAGTGTTTCTTGAATGTTTCTTAATGTTTTCTATATTTAGTTTAATATCTGTAACAGAAGCATTTTGTTCTTATGTGGAAATGCCTTTTCACATTGACTGAAATAAGGTCATTTAAAACAAGTTATTTTAAGTCAAAGAATGATTTTTATATCTGTAAATTCAGTGTGGTAGGTGTGGCTGTTATCTTTCAAATAGCACATACCAAATAAGTACCCCTTGGTTACTCTACTACAATTTCTCTTTGCTGGCAGTAATTCCCTTTTCTTAAAAGAAAAGTATCCACTAAATTTTTTTATGATGCTATGGGAGTGCCTAATGGTTTCACTAAATAATACGCATTTCTATTTTCTTGTGCAAAGTTTCTTGCTTGGGAGGCAAAAAATATAGTAATCATTTTGCTTTCCAGATAACCTCTCCTTTCTTTACATGCCTATTTAAAACTAGATTTATGTTTGCAAGTTCTAGCCTTTAGTTCTTGAATTTATTCAGGAAAAGTCTATGGCATCCTGCCTCCCAAATTGGTCTATATATCTTTGGAGAAAGAAATATATACATTAAGTTTCTCCCTTGACCTTTTTAACTTTTGTAAACACATAGTGGCTAAGTAGGTCCTAGGCCTAAAGTAGATGCCATAGATAACAATTATTCATCAGGAAATCCTATATACCAATTAAAATTCTGGAAAATTCTGTGTTTCTGTTGAATTGCATTTCTACTGAGTTTCAAATAAATGGCATTGCAAAATCCTGTCAACTACATGAAATATGTTTCAGTTCCAATATGTAATGTGGGACCTATGGAAAATTAGCCTTTTTATACCAAGTTATCTCTCAAATTGTGGTCTTATGCAGCTCAAATAAATGTAAATTACTAGAATATGGTATCTGTAAGAATAGTTGGTATGTTTCTTTTGTTGGTATATTCCTTTTAAGCAGCATAGTGTAAATCTTTTATGTAGATGCAACCAATATTTGTTGAATGAACCTAGTTGGACCCTGAAACTTGTTAATTATTTTTAATGTGAATTTAGTAGCGATGGCTAGAGAACTTTTATTCATTTAAACCTTAGGAAGTTTCATCCCAAGTTCTCCTTAATCTAATAAGAAGGATGCATAGGAAGTGATGATGTTTTTAGGGCCACTGGTGACTTCAGGTGACAGAATTTAGAATCTTGGGATTCTTTTGTTCCCTATGAAAAGTGGAGAATGATAGTTATGACCTTTAAACTCCAAGTTACAATTACTGGCCATTTGTAGAGCTCTGATTTTTTTCCACGTTCATGCTGGTGTGAATGTTACACCAGGCAGAGGCTGTTGGGGTACTCATAACAATACCAGGAACCAAAGTCAACGATACAGAGGAATGAAGAAATGTTATTACTGATTAGAGGATGGTGTTTGCATCTTATTACAAGCATTTTATTTATGTCAGTTTTAAGTCATGTATTAAACAAGGATTGGATAAGCATACTATTCTTTTTCTAAGCTCATATGTAATTTGACTTAAAAACAAAAAAGTCCCTTAACCCAGAGAAGACCATTATTTTTTAAAAAGGAACAGGAACAGTACATCAGTCATAGTTATTAGTATCTAACTGTGCTAAACACATGTTTTTGCTTTAAAAAACTAAACAAGAAATGATACTTCAGCTAATATACTCCCTTGTTGCAGAATGATAGCTTAGATCTTCCAAACTGTGATTTCAGTGGTGTTTTCACTTCAGTGATTATAAAGAAAAAGAAAAATATTTTAAGAAAGAAGAAAATAGGCCTTAAATCCATTTTACAACTATTAAATATTAGCTTCTGTCCTATTTTTTGGTGTGGGGGTTTGACACCTGGTGATGCTCAGGATTTACTCCTTTCTCTGCACACAGGAATTATACCTTGTAGTGCTTAGGGGACCATCTGGGATACCAGGGATAAAACTTATTTTGGCTGTGTGCAAGTCAAATGCTGTACCAGCTGTCCTGTTGTTCCAATCCTACAATTGATATGTTATATGTTTAGCAATTAGCTCATTTCCTCATCTTGGCTTCTGATGTCAATGTTAGATTGTTGATTATGAGACTGTAAGTCAGCCCTATATGGGCATAGCTTGATCATTTAGTTTCTTATTTTATTCCACTGTGCACTATTTTAAAATGTGTGTGTTTCATTTTCTTCTTGTCTTCTTCCCTGTGGTTTTTTCAGAGTGCTAAAGATTATTTTGAATGCAGCTTGAGTAAATCCTATAGCTCTTCCAGCAACACGCTTGGGATCGATCTCTGGAGAGGGAGAAGGTGCTGTTCAGGAAACTTACAGTTGCCACCACTGTCCCAGAGACAGAGCGAGAGGACAAGGAGCCCAGAGGGTGATGGTATCTGCAGACCCACTACGCTGCCTCTGACAACACTGCCCAGCATAGCCATCACCACTGTGAGCCAGGAGTGGTGAGTAGTGAAACATCTATCCCAAAGTTTTATTGTCTATTTAATACACATATGATTTCCTCTTCCAGTGCTAGTATTCTGTGGAATCTCTAAGGTTATTGACAGGCTGAGAATTTGTTTCCCTAATGGGTAGCAGAATGAGATCTTTCGAACATGTATTTGTTTGTTTTTGGATCTCACCCAGCAGTTTCAGAGCATAATCCTGGTGCTCCTGGCAGGGGGGTGGAGGGGAGATGCATATATGGGGTCAAATTAGGGATTGAATCCGGATAAGCCACTTGCAAGTCAAGCACCTTTCCCCCGATATCATCTTTCTGGCTCATCGAACAGTGATATTTTCTACTTAAGTTTGGAAGGGGCCTGTTGAGGAAGACTGAATTGCATTTTTATTGATATCAAGGGAAAGAAAATTTCTGCATTTGATTTTTTTTTTAAAAAGGAACTATTCATTGTGTATCTATATACTTTATTTTAGGAAAGCAAAATCATATCAGGGCATATAAGGGAAGTATATATAAAGTAGTCACTATTATTTTTTCTGCTCTCCATATAATTATTCTCTCTTCTTGTCATCCTACATTATGAATGTTTGTGATTACCTCTTAAATAAAACATTTTATTGTAATTCCAAAAAGAGATGAAAAGTGAACTATGAGAGATTCTTGGACTGTATTGCAAAGTCAATATTTAGTTCAATGTTGAGAATTTAATTAAGTACATATGATCTTATAACTGTGGCTTATATTGTGCCATGATATTGCTTTATGTATGCATTATATATATGGCTGGAGTGATAGCACAGCGGTAGGGCATTTGCCTTGCGCGCAGCCAGCTCAACCGAGCCGGGTTCGATTCCTCTGCCCCTCTCGGAGAGCCTGGCAAGCTACCGAGATTAAATATGAGAGTATTCAATCTGCCAAACACAGTAACAAGAAGTCTCACAATGGAGACATTACTGGGCCCGCTCAAGCAAATTGATGAACAACGGGAGGACAGTGTTTCTAACAGTGTTTCTTCATGCATTATATATATATGTATACATGTATACATACTTGGATTTAGTAATTAGAACTTTTATCTAGCTAATTTAACATATTTTCCAAGAGTGATCTATTGGTGTAAGAGTTTTAATATTAAAATAAATTTTAATATTTTGTTTAAATTATAATAACATGATGCTTTTATGATTTTTTGCTTTATTAGGAAGGACTAAACATATTAAATTGTTGAATACCATCATTCCATTGAAACATTATCACTAAGATCTGTTGTTATTGTTGTTGTTGTGGGGTGGTGGATGCTTCTCAAGCAGTGCTCAGGGCTTCTGGCCTCCACTCCCAGCAGTACTGAGTCAACCGGGTGATTCAATGTCTTTGACCTGAGAATGTGGAACTTTTTGATGCCCTGTGGAGCCAGAGACTTCAACGGCAACCTCAGTGGAGACTGGGAGCCTCCAAGGCCACGCAGGAGATGGTCAAAGACCTCCAAGGGTGTACTTGGTGGTGCAGTGAGGATCAATGTGCCAAGGTTCAAACTCAATTCCAAGCATGTGCCTTGCATATTTTGACCAACTTCCAACCACATTTTCTTTTGCTCCGTGAAGTTGTTCTGTAGCCATTGCTCATTGAATGATGCAGATAATCTTTAACTGGTAGTTGTGAACTATGCTGAGAATTATGTCACAGAGAGTCCAGGTATTATAGTTCTAAGCTTGAGATAGAGAAGAATGTTAATGCCTTCTAGAGACAATGGGTTAATTATTTGGGAAGCATTGACTTGCATCTTTTGTTCATCTGAATTAATGAAAGAAATCAAAGGCAATCGTTAAGAACATAAATTGGCATAATTCTCCCGTACCTCATATTCACTCACATAGCTTGTATGATTAGTCTTGGTTATGCGTATTGCAAAGTTGGGGTTACTTAAGGACAATTGGAAATGGTGGAATTGTTACTCTGGGACAAACATCAATTTTGCTCTGACATTTTGGCTAACTTGTCTACCTCTGTAAACTGAATGTATTCTTGAGCTTAAAATGAGGAGTAACACTCATTTAGTATACTACTGTGAAGATTAAATTAAGATCCCCAACTTTGTATAAAAGCATTTGTCAGACAGTCAACAAATACTATTTTCATTCCTCTTAATAATTATTCAGTGAAACCCTTTGAATATTGGAAGCTATATCTCAAGTATCAGTAGCCTTTTGTTGGATGTTAATAGTTAAAACTGATATGGAGAATTTGGCAGTTATTCATAGAACTTATGTTGTATAGTCAGCTATTACCACACAATAGGAGTTCATTCATAATATGTCTGTTTTACTCCCATTACCTAGATGCTTTGTAAGGTAGGAGAGTATTAGTCACTGAATCAGCTTATTTTAAAATATATGCAACTAAAAGCATTTCTATATGTCCACTAAAATACTTCCTTTGGAAGTTTGCTAATTAAAAACTGATGTATCTGGTGGGGGGTGTGGTGTTGGGACAATATATGCACAAAAGTATCATTAACAATATTGTAAATTGCAGTAGCTCAATAAAGATTGAAGTGAAATTTGGTGTAGTGGCTAGCAGAGGAATCTAAAGAAGGGTTATTGGATTTGAAATGAGAATGTTGGATTAAACTATTATCACTACTATCAACTTGTTGCCAGTTTATAGCAGGAAGGGGTATAGTCCAGGTTGAATGTGAGAAAGAATTATACTTGCCATTTAGACCACTGAGAAAATGAAACTAATTTCATATATAGAACAAGGTTAACAAACATTTCTGTAAAAGGCCATGCTGGTGAATATTTTTTGCTGTGTGGCATTTATAAATTCTGCCGTATAATACACTGCTGTTGTAGTATGAAAATAGTCATAGACAATGAATAAAATCCTTCTGTGATCCAGTGAAATTACATTTATAGGACTAGGCAGCTGACTAGATTTGGATTGCTAGATAGTTTTATGGCCATGTTCTAGGCTAGTGGGGATCTCTGGGACATGATTTCTGCTCTGATATCTGCTTTAACATTTACAACTAGATTGAAACAGGCCTTGAATTCTAGGTAGATGTGCTAAACATATAACTATGGAATTCTTTGTGATAAAGATTGTCTTTAAAGTTAGTGCAAAAACTCGATAATCACTTGAATTCAATAAATAGGAAAATATATAAATTTATTTTTGTTTGGGGAGAGTGATTAATAGAGGTAGCTTATCACTATATGTGAAAGGTCTGGAATATAAGGAATATAGTTGTTTGATTCACCTTGGAGAAAGAAGGAGTTAGAAAATGTCTGAATCCAGTTGGGTGAACTTCTATTCTATTATCTTTTTAAAAAAATTATTATTTTTTAAAAAATATTTATTTATTTATTTATTTTGCTTTTTGGGTCACACCCGGCGATGCTCAGAGGTTACTCCTGGCTCATGCACTCAGGAATCACTCCTGGCAGTGCTCAGGGGACCATACGGGATGCTGGGAATTGAACCTGTGTCGGCCATGTTGGCTGTGTGCAAGGCAAACGCCCTACCCGCTGTGCTATCGCTCCAGCCCCTTAAAAAATTATTAAAAAAAAATTTTTTTTTGGCCACATCCAGTGCTGCTCAGAGATAACTCCTGGCTCTGTACTCGGGAATCACTCCTGGCCAGGCTTGGGGGATCAGATGGGATGTGAGGTATAGAACTTGGCTGCTTGCAAGAGAAGCCCCTCACTGACTGTATTCTCTCTCCAGCCCCTACCCTATCAACTTTGTAATGACTTTCTTCATCTCACAAACCCCTTGATGAACATAATGGTGGTGACAAAACCCACTTTTCTGTTGTGAAGAGAATAAAATAATGAGAGTGAAAATAATACATGTAAAAAGTCACTTGTATTTTGTGTTTATTTACTGCTATTATTTTCACTATACATAAAACTAGCAGCTAGAACTGCTCATTTTTCATTTTGAGGGTTCTGCGGGAACCTTATCATGCAGAACTCTGAGCATCAACTTGGAAATAAGATGAAAAAAGAGACCAAAGATCAAGCAAGTGATACTTTACCATTTTTTAGTATAGTCAGGAAGATTTGGCAATAGTGTCCAAATACTGAGTTACTCAATTCAGTAACTTTATATATTTTTTAAAAAAAAAAAATATATATATATATATATATATATATAGTTGCTGTTGGTTTGATTTTGTTTTGAGGTGTTTTTGTTTTGGGGTCATAGCCAGTTCTGCTCAGGGTTTAATCCTGGCTCTGTGTCAGGGATTAATCCTGGTGAAGCTAGGGGGACCATATGTTGTATTGAGGGATTGAACCCAGGTCAGCCAGGTGCAAGGGAAGTGCCTTATCTGCTTTACTATCTCTCCAGCAACTTGGCTTTGGATTTCTGAAACCTTATCTTATAAAGAGTTTTCCCTTTGTTTATCTCACATGAGGTTCTTTGTACTTCATTTGTATCTTATTATATCTGGAAGTGTTCATTGTCATTATCTCACATGTATTTTCTTTTATAACATTTCTCTACTTAAACTTCTGAATACATATATTTTGGACTTACTTTTAAATGTTCCATTTCTATTAGTTCCTTTAATATTAAAGAAATTAACTTGTCTTTCTGGACTGTTATGCTAAACACTTTTGATGTTGCTTTTGTTTGATAATGTTCTTTTTTTTTTTTTTTTTTTTGCTTTTTGGGTCACACCCGGCGATGCTCAGGGGTTACTCCTGGCTCATGCACTCAGCAATTACTCCTGGCGGTGCTCGGGGGAACATATGGGATGCTGGGAATTGAACCTGGGTCGGCAATGTTGGCTGCGTGCAAGGCAAACGCCCTACCCACTGTGCTATCGCTTCAGCCCCTGATAATGTTCTTTTTAACTCTAAGTTTCTGTTGAATCTATTATATTATTGAGCTTCTCAATTTTGCTTATTCTATATTTTTTGTTTTTGTTTTTTGCTTTTTGGGTCACACCTAGGGGTTACTCCTGGTTCATGCACTCAGGAATTACTCCTG